CTTGAGGTCTCTAAGCCTCTTTAAGGCTCCTCTGCCCTCCAGGGACCAGCAGCGTGGTCCCATGTGAAGACAGGGAACACGGTGTCTGAGGCAGCTGGCAGCCACTGAGGTAGCACTGTCCCACTGAGAGAGCAAAGACACAAAGCATCACTCAGTCCTTGCCACAGGAGCAGGCATCCGCAGCCACAGGAAAAGGATGTTCCCATCTCCATCCTCCTCTCCCTTTGCTTAATGCTCCTGCTGGAAATGTTCTGCCTATTTGACCAAAGGGAAGCCTTGAAAATACAGAAAGAGAGCGCAAGGGAGGAGTGCTGGGAGCTGGGGCAGGAGCATCCTTCCCTGGTTCCTCGCAGGAGACAGGAGATAAAGCCAGCACTACTGCAGGCTGCAGCGCTTCCCTCTGAGAAGCATTCACCTACCAGGGGAGGAGCAGCGAATATTCACATTTGTACACTTTGATAGTGTGATAGCAGTGTACAACAGGCAAGGTCAGCACACGGCAGAGACACCAAGGGACTGTTTCCTCACTAAACCATGTAAGTGAAAAATCAGTGTTAAGAGTGACTATTACGCAGACAATAAAATGTTTTTATACCAATGTAGGTGTCAAGCTCTACGCTTCTGCCGAGTGGATCCTTCACATTATGACTGCAAATATGCTTAGCCAAGCAGAATGCTCCCAGCAGCAGCACAGTGTTTGTTATTAGGAATAAGACTTCCACTCTGCATTTTATAGCTGGGGCTCTTGGGGATGGATGGTACAAACAGAGACTGGCCCTGGGGAGAGGTAGCATCTGTGGGGACATCACATTACAGCAGTAGGAGCCACTGTGCAAAGGAGAAGGGACGGGACAGGGGAAGCTCTCAGTAAAGCATCCTGGAGACATTAATGCACATTAATTGCTGTCGGACCACTATGAGCTAATTAGCCTTTGCTGGTCAGAACGGGCTTTCAGCTCTCCTCCAGAGCCAGGCAGTTTCTCTCCCTCAAGCACACACTCACACAGGCTGCAGCCAATATCGGAGGGGAAGAAGTGTTTAACCAGAGCTCACTAGCGGCCAGCCCATCGCCTGCACTAACAGGGATCAGGTCTGGAGGGGGAGAAATCCTTCATGCTGTGGACAACGCTGTAAATGAGCTTGACCAGCTGTTTGTTCAGCTCAGCAGCCCTGGCCCTCGGTACACACCCTGGTCCGGATTGAGGCACAAGTTGTCCCATCCTGTCCCCTCAGGTGCTGCCTGTCTTCAGGACAAGTCTTGCCTTTCCTCTCTGGAAGGGCACATCCTCTTTTTATCAGCGCTGAGGAATCTCTTACCAATTATTATGAATTTGTTAGTATTTCCTCCCTGCATTTGCTGTTTTTAACTGCTGAGATCTCCCACCAGATACGGCTCCGCACCGGGAGAGGTGCAGAAAGCTGGTGCTGGATTTTTCTGAATCTTTTGTTCGTCTCAGTCTC